CAGAATATATGATGTGTCTTGTTTCTGTAACTTCTTGTGTCTGTTTGTCCCTATAATAACTTCTTGTGTCTGTCTTGAAAATATGCCCAACTATAAAGATTTTGTTATTATAATATACAATAAAAATACGATCTTTTATTTGCTTTATAACCATGGTGTCTATGAAAGGGAATAATGTAAGTTGATGTAACTTTTACAAACTAGGCCACAGGTGGGTTTTAAGTATTAAAGTATTCTTGCTGAACTGTAGCTAACCATGCTCGGCATCGTACATCAGGTAAATTATTTTAAGTGAAGACAACGATTATAAATATCATAGAGCCCTGCTATTTGATACAAACATCAGTGAAGAGGAGAAGCACGTGTGGACAGTGATCTCAATTCTCATCTATACAAAGCTAATATTTAAAACTGATCACACTCAAGGTCACGTCATCAAATCTGCTTTTACACTTTGTCATGAACTAGAATAAATTCTTGGTATACTTATCTAATAGTTAAATTAAATATATATACAAACTATTTTTTGTCAAGAAATATGAGATAATAGTAACTCAATACATTATGGTACACACATGGTTAATAAATGCAAAATGAACTGTTTTAAACAGGATTTGTGTGGTAATGAAGAAGCCTGTTTTTTTTAGGTCTGAAAGCCAGTTTAACCCCCTCGTTGCTTCTTGTCTGTCAGAGAGTTCCTGGCCCTGAAAGTGTACGTGGCTCTGTGTTACTACAAGCTGGATTACTACGACGTGTCTCAGGAGGTGCTGGCTGTGTACCTGCAGAGCGTGCCGGACTCCACTATTGCCCTGAACCTCAAGGCCTGCAACCACTTCAGACTTTACAATGGCAAGGCAGCCGAGGTACTCAGAACCCAGGCTTAAGCATACAAATAATCCAACAAATAACACAAAGGCATACATTAAAACAAGTGACAACTGAAGTGGCTATTTAAAGATACAGTATTTTAGAGCGGTCAGTGCACAGTTATTGTGCTTTTCTGGAAAACGTTTTTTTAAATAATTTTGATGTTTATTTATTTAGCCATGCATGCACTGTAACAGTTTACCAGTAACTGCTTGTCATCACTATCTGGTAGTGGGTTTGGCTTACTGTAGACTCTCTCCATCTTAGGCTGAGTTGAAGAACCTAATCGACATCTCCTCCTGCTCCTTTGAGTTTGCTAAGGAGCTTATCCGACACAACCTGGTAAGCTCTTCACAAGCTCTAGTGTGTGTGCGCGTATGCATGCGTGTGAGTGTGTGTGTGTGTGCGTGGGTGTACATTAACCAGTGACTCACATGCTGCTTTTCCACATTCTGAATCCCCCCCCCTTGTGAACTGCAGGTGGTGTTCCGTGGTGGGGAGGGGGCGTTGCAGGTGCTGCCTCCTCTGATCGATGTGATCCCCGAGGCCAGACTCAACCTGGTCATCTACTATCTCAGACAAGGTGTGCAGACATGGCATTACAGTTTTCTGAAACGAGCTAAACACAGAAATAATTCCTATTGAAATGCATCAAATCTCTAACTAACTGTAAATTAAGAGGTGAGGAAATGAAGATGAGGACATTTTTTCCCATACTCATCAATAGTTCACAAATTCATAATTCTACTAAATGTGCTTTAATCATTTTTAAATATTCTACAAATATAAATTATATATAACACTCTATTTTATTTGATACTCGCCGTATTTAGGAATTACTAAAATCTCTGTGGTGTAAAAAAAAGAGCCAAAAACCTAAGATAATTCATGTTATCCAACATTTTAAGTAAATATTTCCTTTAATTAATGGTGTAGGGGTTTTAGGGGTCATATTTCAGAGAAAGACCTCCCCTAGCTTATGGACTTACAGGCTCCATATTTTTACTTCCAGATGATGTGCAGGAAGCCTACAACCTCATCCAAGATTTGGTTCCCAACACAACTCAGGTAATGATGTAATGTGACATTGGGTGGTAATGTGATATCAAATATAATTCTTTGGTCTCAATAAGGAAATCCAATACATCTTCCCAATACAGTAGCTGTATTAAACTACAACCAGTGCTAATATTGGCCATTTTGCATACAATGGTTAATAGGTTTTTACAGGGAAGAATATTGATACATATATATTTTTTTCTCAGGAGTACATTCTGAAAGGAGTTGTCAATGCAGCTTTGGGACAAGACATTGGATCAGTCAGTATTTCTGTTAAATAAATAGTCACACAAACAAAAGTGATAATAGAGAGTCAGAGAGACACATTTCTGTTTTCATGCTTTGTCTTTCAGAGGGATCACCTGAAATTTGCTCAGCAGTTCTTCCAGCTGGTCGGAGGCTCGGCCAGCGAATGCGGTACATTGAAAATAAATGTTATCAAAATGCACTTTATAAAGGAAAGCTGCGTGAGGATGTGTGTGTAACATACTTCTCGCTTTCAGACACTATTCCAGGCAGACAGTGCATGGCGTCCTGCTTCTTCCTCTTAAGACTGTTTGAAGATGTCCTCATATATCTCAACTCAGTCAAGGTTTGTGCTATATTATATTCCAGTATAATCACAGTGAGAATACTCTGCTGTGGTGTGAATATGTGAGATGGAATTACAAAGACTCCCACACACTGGGAGACAAGTGGCACTTCAGATGAGCAGTAGTGCTTCACAGACACAGTGCACATGTGGGCCTTTTCGTGTAGGCATAATTGTACTTCTGTTTTTTCAGGGTTATTTCTATAACGATGATACGTTCAACTTCAACTATGCTCAGGCTAAAGCAGCCCTTGGCAACTACAAAGAAGCAGAAGAGGTACCTTACTTAATTAAACATCTACACAACTGCCTTTTACAGGTTTATATCAATGCTAATACGTTGCTTAAAGATATTTGGATTAATTTTATTTTTTCTTTCAGATTTTTCTGCTGATTCAGAGTGAAAAGATCAAGAATGACTATGTTTACCTCAGCTGGCTGGCTAGATGCTGTACGTATAGCATTTGTATGAGTGATGTTTAATTACCAAAATCTTTCTCCAAGGCAGAAATCCTTCATTCAATTCATGTATGTCAACTTAACTTTAAAAGGAATTGTAAAAAATGGTTAAACTTTAAAATAGAAATGGAAAACACAAAGCATAAAATACATTTACATTTATTGAGGAGTTGAGACAGAAACCCTCAGAAATCAGAGCCTATTTCCAGTTTTTCAACTCTGAACAGATCTTCATTTGGAATAAAGGAGAGGCCTTTTTAGTTAGACATGTAAACAGTTACAGTAATCTACACCTGATGAGATAAAATCATGAACTCAGAACTCTTACATTAGACTGAGGAAGCCTTTATACTAATTCACAGAGACTGAGATCTAATCAAACATCACCGACAGATTTCTAGCCCTGGGTTTATAAAACAAAGTTTATGTTCACTCTTGCACCCAGCTGGCGTTACGCTCAGCAGCTTTAAGAAATGGATATCTAAATTAAAAGGTTTTTCTCCCCATCTCGGCTTTACCCACATCAATGAAAACCTTCCCACAGGCAGCGAATATCTCCCAAATCTGAATCTATAAAAGTAGCAGAATCTGCCTGTGAATGAAGGATTATTGAACTCGTCTTGTTCTTGTCAGACATCATGAACCAGAGGGGCCGGCTTGCCTGGGAGCTCTATCTGAAGATGGGCACTTCCTCCGATTCCTTCAGTCTGCTGCAGCTCATTGCCAACGACTGCTACAAGGTGACAGCATCCTGTAAATTCATTCATTATTGCTGAAACAAATAGTAATTAGCGTTAACAAATTAATTTCAAGTCACATTTTAACACACACACAGAATAAAATAACTGATGCCAGGAAAATTGGCATTTCTCATGGAAATATGGTTATTGTTTCAGATGGGCCAGTTCTACTATGCAGCTAAAGCGTTTGATGCTCTGGAGAAACTGGACCCAGAATCCAACTACTGGGAGGGCAAGAGAGGCGCATGTGTCGGCATCTTCCAGCTCATACTGGCCAACAAGGAGTCTAAGTATGTTTGTCTCTTTTTCCTCTGCAATATATTTCATAAATTTACATTTTACAATGTTTTCTAGTTTTTTTGTTTTCGTTGCAAAACATCATGTGTCAAAGAGATTGCTGTCATCATTACCCAGTAAAACTCAATAACATCGGGGCGGACATTTTAAACCTCTGTGTTTGAGTGGGTGTGATGTCTAAATGAAAGAAACACGAGAAATGGTGCATTCTTCGTCTAATCTTGTTTCCTCACATATCCTGTTTGTGTTCTAGGGAGACACTTAAAGAGGTGTTGTCTCTGCTGCGAAATTCAGGAAACCCCCAGGTTGAATATATAATTCGAGCTCTGAGGAAATGGGCCAAAGACAACAGAGTCCTTCTCTCATGATAGCTGATCTTCAGCTCGCTACATCAAGAGTAGCTTCATTATGCAGACATCAGCAGTTCTATTGTATAAATTATACCTATGCCCAAAAATAAAACTATTATCTCTGCCATTACGTTGTTAAATATGTCAGTTTTGAATTGCAATTCTCTATGTACTCGTATATTTATAATAAAAATGTGACTATGTATTTTGTTGTTCTTGTCAGTGATTGAGTTGTATCACTAAAGTAACTTGCTTTACAAAGTTCTACCAATAAGCAATTAAAAAAACTATTTGCTGATCAGAAATGAACAGGAAATAATAAAACAATTTGTATACTGTTAAGCAAGGGTGGAAAAGGAACCGGTGCAAGACAACAATACACTTTTAGGATTATCAAGAGCAAATATATATAAATGAATGTATTGTAAAAGGAGTAAATACTCAAACTAAACAACGCTGTTGTTAAATTACACTTTTCTTATTCTGCATTGCACAAGGTAGCCGAAGAAGCTGCTCAAAATTGCAAAAACATGAGAATAAAATGTGAATTATGCTCCAGAAAGATCTACACTGATGCACTTTTGTTGGTAGCCATTGAAAAGATGACAAGGAAGAGGAGATGTAGCATTTATTTTATTTAGTTTGGGTGTTGTATTGTGACAAAGAGGTCTCCGCAAAACTGTCCTAATGTGGATGCAAATAGTTTTCAGACAACATTGCAGTTGTGTTTGGTTTTTCTCTAAAAAGCTCTTTCAATTGCAAATGTGTAAGGATCGGCCACATGTGTTAGGTGTGGCATTAATAGGGGCTACAGACCAAACTTTGCCTTTTCCAACTGGTTAATCCACTCATGGTTTCTGCAACAGAAGTTCAACAAATAAATAAAAGCATCAATGTCACATTTAAATTAGTTTATTGTCATAGGGAAACATGTTGGTATCATAAACTGAATATCAACAGGTGGTTAGTAGTGGCTGTAAATGAATCAGCTGTTTTGTGCTGGTTAACTGAGACAGCCAACCATCTGGCTTGCTTTCTTCCGTTTAGGATTTGATGTTTGAGGGTGTGCTTTAGAAAAATGCACAATTCAGCATTTTCCTGAATAGACAGAAAGAAAGGCTTCAACCGAAAGCTGTGGATTGTGATTATTGAGATGAAGCTGTTATATGATACTTTTGTAATCACACAGCATGTGGGGTGAGGCTATATCCCACAGCCTGTCCTTCACTTAGACACTATTTAAAGGTCATTATAGTACTGTCAGTGTTGTTATTATCGCCTGTTGTGACAGAGGCGGGTCTAGGATCGGGGCACGCGTTGATTGGACGTGACGAACCCCCTGTGCCACGGTGCTTCCGCTTTGTGCGTAAGCGCAGGCGCAGCGACCCCTCTCTTCTGATATTTTATTTACTCCCGAAACCCAAGATGGCTCCTGTGAATGTCTCGGTCCCATAGCAAATTGAGGATGCAAGTAGCTGCCGTAGAAACAACTTTTCCCCCGCCGTCACAACCCCTGGAGTTCATTGCGTATGGTGCGGAGGAGGCCCTAACGTCCGTCTAGGCACCGAGCAGCTGTCGGGGCTTCGCGAAACCGTCCTCCACCCTCCAATTTGGAGTAGTTTCGCGAAGTAGCTCTTCTCCTCGCTGTCGCTGTCTGTCCGGAGCGAGGCTCAGGCAGGCAGCTCATCCAAATGGCCGAACCGAGAAAAGTGCAATTTGTCACCCTCTCGGCCTTCGCAGCTGGAGCGGCCGCGGAGTCTAGGAAACGGCGGTTGGAGGATGAGGCCGACTTCAACTTCGGTGAAGCCGGGGAGGTCGAGGCAGCGACCGGGGCAGGGGGTGCTGCCAGCAACGGGCGTCTCGGCCAAACCTGCGATGGGGACACGGCTGTAGCCGAGAAGAGGGTGACGGTGCGGCTCAACCTGTCCCTACCCGAGCCTGACGACCGCTCCTCCGCCGAGTTTAATTATGGAGAACTCATCCAAAACCGCCAGGTAGGATCTCTGACCAACATCACCAGGCCGGCTGGTACTGGAGCTGGGGTTCATTTTATTTGCTCTTGGCAAGTGTTTGTGTGGACTTGTCATTGCTGAGTGAGAGGGGGGAAGTGCACCTTGTCCTTCTGTGGACTAGCGTGGCTGAAACTGACCATTAGTGCGACTCTACACAAAAGACAGCGCAGTTATTTGACCAGCCTGTCCACTCTGTGCTTTCCAACTTCAGCGGCGCTCTACCATCACATTGTAGCTTTTTTTCATCGAGGGAACTCGTCTTTTTAAACATGTAGAGATGAAGCTTATCTTGTGCTGCTACCTGTGTCCTATTCACTCAGACTTGCCCAGCAACAGCCCAGTCACACAGCCATTACAGCACTTGGAAATGCCACATGCAGTTTGGCCCTCTGGCTGCGGGTGATAGATAGATGATAGAGCATTGCTGATGGAAGTACCAGGATGTAGCATGGGAGGAAGGCAAATGTCAGAGAGGAGCTTGCCTCATTTTGAATCTGTGCAATCTGGGATGATGGATTCTGTTGCTATTATTATGGTTTACATGAGTGGGAATTGGATGAGAAAAAGTTTGCAAAACAGAATAGGATTTCATAATTCTAATTCTGGCTATACCAGCGCCATGTTTGGCATATGTTATGATTGTTGCGATTACTGAGATCAGTGGTGTAAAGTAACTAAGTAGATTTACTCAATTACTTTACTTTTTGTACAATTTTGAGGTACTTTTGAGGTACTTAACTTGAGTATTTCATTTGTTTGCTACTTTGTACTTCTACTTCACTACAATTCAGAGGTAAATCGTGTACTTTTACTCTACTACATAAGACTTTAGTTACACCTGGAGTAAATTCACAAGCTACCCTGCAGTATACAAAGTCATTCAAACTAGCTGCACCTTTACCAGCTTTGATAAACACATTAATGCACCAATAATTATAATCAAAATATATCGTATTATTCTGAAAGGGATCAATCAGCATAATGAGTACTTTTGGTACTTTAAATATATTTTGAGTAACATGTTGAAGGCAGGCCTTTCACTTTTAACAAAGTATTCCTAAATGATGGTACTTCTACCTTTACTTAAGTACAAGAAGAGTACTTCTCCCACCTCTGACTGTGAGGGATATTTAACTGATTGTACTTATCTTTTATTTGAGGTTATAACATAGTCAGGTTGCGTTATAGAGTGAGATGCAGTGAAACTGTCTAATCATTGCTCTGACATTTGATTATTTATATTAAGTTTCACTTTATTTTCCAGGCAAAAAAGACAACTCAAAGTTTGACTTCTGCCAACAATCCCAACGACCCCTTCAACGATGACGAGAGAGTGCGGCTGCAGGTCGAGGCCCTGGCAAAAAAGTTGGAAAATAAATACGTGAGTGTTTCTAATTTGATATTTTTAGCATTATAACCTTGCAGATATTTAGTTTAGTTAAACAATCAGATGAGGATATATTTGGTTGATGACCACATGCATAAACTGAGACGACAGAGATGGTTTGCAGTTTAAAAAACTACTTTTCAATGGTCTTTGAGGAGGAAAACCAGTGTCATGGTAAATGTAATTCATATGGCTAAAAATCTTAGCTCAACAGTTGTTCGGCTGTGAGAAACAGGAAGAAAGGGAAACACATGGTTAGCAGCGGAGTTAAATATGACTGTTATAGAAAGTTTCTGTTTCTGCTATTTTTTTATACTGATCTTCGGGTACACTACCGGCCAATAAGTATATCCTTTTAACAAGCCCATCAGTCAGCTTATATATTTCTGATTTGGGTTTATGTACTTAAATAGCCATTTAAAAACAACAAAACGTTTTTTTATGTCATCTAAAACTTAAAATAACATTATACTTTTTAATAATTTTTCAGGGTAATGAGGAAAAGAAGAAGAAGAAGGACAGAATGCAAGATTTGATTGATATAGGCTTTGGCTACGACGACGCAGACCCCTTTATTGACAACTCAGAAGCTGTAAGTGCTCCTCACTTTATTAATAATGAGGTGATTTTTCACCTGCGGTTTTGTTTTCTGGGGATGACACTTTTATTTAGTCAGACGTCTCTCTTAAGTCTTTATAGTTGCACCATTGCACATTGTTTTTATTTTCTCCCTTGCTGATTTAACCTGCTGTCCTCGTCACATTCCTGATTTGCGGTCTTGTTGTTATTCCCCTGTGGTTAAATAATTATTTCGTGGCTTGTCGCTCCAATACAGTGCATTCAGTGGCACTTCTAAAGATAGCCGCTTGTCCCTTCATACAAGCAATCTGTGACTACGGTCTAAAACCATCCTCATGACTCATGAATACGTACGTGCGGCTTGTGTCCTCAAAGGGATATGTCATTGTTGAGGTTGGACAGTGTTTGTTACGCAGTATTATACTGAGGATATCACTCTGTCTGACTGTAATAGCTGGAATTATGCTCTTGTATCGAGTCTCTGCCATATAATATGATATTTGTTTTGTTTTGATAACTGTCCTCTCTGCACCCATAAATTGGCAGTGCCTGTTTGATACTTTTTTCCTTTAGTTTTGATATGCTCTCAGTCTCTGATGAAAAATACTTTCATCTGTGTCTTGGAGGGATTGTGATTTTTGTTTCTCTTTGGGTTTTTTTTGTGACCAACAAGTCATGAATTTTCACTGACCAACAGAAGAGCCTGTGCTATTTCATTTTAATCTTAACAAGAAACATTATCACGTCATTCGCTTTTGTTTGTAATACGATCTAGGTTTTTTTCTAGATTCATGTGATCTTATCCTTCAACTTCTGTGTTTTTCTCTCAGTATGATGAGCTGGTTCCTGCCTCTTTGACCACAAAGCTGGGGGGCTTTTACATCAACACTGGCACGCTGCAGTTCAGAGCTGCCTCCGACTCTGAGGGAGAGGAGGGCAAGGTGAGACTAACATAACATGTCCATAACACAAAGAATGTATTATTAATTATTCAGTGTCTGAAAGTTACTTTCAAGCCTGCAAATATGTGGATTTGACACAGTCAGAAACAGAAATGACATAATACTATAAGAGATGTCAAGGATAATACTCATTTCCAATGTTGAACTAAAACTCGTAAAGATGCAGGAATACATCATTATTTATCCATGGCTTGCTGTGCTCTTATTTCAGAAGACTAACGACAACAACGAGAATTTAATCAAGAAGAGGAAAAAGAAGGAAGTGGACAGTTCAGAAGAGAAGAACCAGAAGAAGAACAAACTACCTAAACAAGGGTGAGAATCATGGCGGTATAATATTCCTGCGATTTATAATTTGTTGGTTTATGTTTATTAATCAGCCGAATATATGTGAATGTATCATGTGAACCTCCACAAGCTGCACTGTCTCTGTCACACACACCCTGTTGTGTAAATGGATTAGTTGTTCTCCTTAGCTGGAAAAGTTGACCTTTTGGACACCCATGGATTGTTGGCCACAGTGAATATGTGATGACGCATTTTGTCCGGTCGCCTCCGTGCTAATAATCCACCACCCTGTGTGACATTATAGTCCTGTGCTTTTGTGCGGATCCTCTCTCATACATCTATCATGAGGAAGGGATGCTGACTGTGACAGCCAGCCACCTTCCAGAAAACACTGCACGCTCAGATAGGCTTAATACTCCATAATGCCGCCACTCTGAAAATAATGTCCAAAAATAGCAGTAGCTATTGCTATTGTGCCATTATGAAACAGATGATGTTATATATGAGTCTGTGTGTCAGATCTTTCAGAGCAGACAGCAGGTTAATCCTGCAGAATCCCCACAGTACCTCTTCCAACGTTTCAAAGTCGTCTCTGACAGCGTGTGTCGATGCCTCAGTTTGCCACTGAAATTTCTTTTATGTAGCATGAGTTTAATTTATTCATTATCCTGCACTTTTTACCTTCAGCCACCCACGTCTCTTTCCCTCTTCAATTTAATTGAAGTTGTCTTTGTTGCCTTATTAAAATGTCAATCTCAAACTCTTTTGTGCCAGTTTATGGTGATTTAGTCAACCAATCAGAGCTTACCGAGCAGTCCTACACATGTGGATACTTTTTTCCCTAGATAGCCTTAGACAAAAAGGCTACATTTACAACATCAGAAGCATTTTGCTAAAAAAAGGCATCACTGTTCTTTCCTCCAACAGAGTCACAGACCTCACCCTCCAGCGGCCTGAGAAGAAGAAGAGGAAGAAGCTGATGAAGGACTCGCTGTACCTGGCGGCCATGCTCCGCCGCTTCACCCGGGAGAAGGAGGACATGATGAAAATCAACCCGAACGTGGCTCACCCCGGCCTGGCAGGAGGTGTGGCTAACAAGCCACCCTCCATCAACTCAACTAACCACCTGTTGGCCTCGAACTCCACCCACAACACAGCCGGCAGCGACTTCTCACTGGCAGACCTCACCTCGGACCCCGCCGTGATGTCACTGCTGGGCTCGGCCAATGAGAAGGAGCTGCAGGATCTCTTAGGCGACCTGGACTTCAGCGTGTTGGATTCTGACCAGCAGCACGCCATGTCTGCAGCCCGGGAGAATGGCGTTCTGGGAGTCGGGGTTCCTGGTCCTAAACCAGCAGCAGCAGCAGCAGGAGGTGGGGGCCAGGGGCGAGGCCCGGGTTCCTCAAGCGGTCTGTTTTCTCCTCCTCCGCTGCCGGATGGACTGCCTGCTCCTCTTATTAAACGCATCGAGGACTTGCGGGCGGTGAGTCAACTCTAGCCTGTCTGTGGGCAGCTGCAATTACCTGTGAATTCTCCTCACTGAAGTTTAACACAAATGCCCGTTAGCTCAGGAAGTGATACAAAATGTTTATTGTGATTGTTTAGTCCAACGAGAATAGTCTATTCTAAAGCATTGGAGAAACATAGCTCCAGGCTGAACCTTGAAGCTTTTTATGTAACGAAAACAGTGGGGCTGGGCAGAACTGACTCTGAAGAAGTTCTTATTTTCTTCTTGCCTTTTATATCTCACAGCCACAAAGTCAATCCATAGCAGGGACCTGTTTTTCTAGATGTTGGTAAAGTTTAAAGAGAGGCAGAAAGAGCCAAGTAGATGGGAAGATAAATACATTAAGGACCATACATTTTTTTTGTTGCTTTCAAAATCAGCATAGGTATTCAGAAATCTTGAGAGGTTCAACATTAGTAAGAGGTTTTCTAGAAATAATTAAAGGAAGTTTAACTTTGAATGAAAATGGAAGGAACCAAGAATTCATTCAAATGTTGTGTGGCAGCTGTACAGAGCAACACAGAGCAATAGAGCATATATAGTGCTATTTCGGAGCTTTCAAATGAATGGGCAAACAAATTCAACAAGTGTTAAATCATCCTTAGAAGATAATTGTTCAAATGAGAGTCATATGAAAAACAGCATCAGGTAGAGGAGAAACTGTTTGTGTCTTTAGAACAGTCCTCAGGGCACAGCATCACAGATATATGTCTATGCATTTATATATATTTGTTCTGTATGAAAGAGTGCTGGTACAGTGTGCTGACTCAACATTTCTCCCACAGGCCTCGCTGCAGTTTGATCAAGAGGGCAGGAAGAAATTCTTCACCTTGGACATGAATAACATTCTCCTGGAGTGAGTAGGACAGCTTTTAAATCACCCTCAGCTAAATGCCAGCTCACTCTCCTCCTCTCCTCCTCTCCTCCAGTGTTTCTCACTCAGTTTCAGACCATTTCCCTCGCCACCTCTCCGGCTGTCTTTTTTAAGTGTTTTGTTTTTCCTTCAGTCTCTCATTTTGTGTGTTAATGTCATGCTTCTCATTTCCATACCTCTCTCTTACTTTCACCACCCCCTCAGTGTGTCCACTCTTCTCCATCCATTTCTTTCATCTCCCATCTCTTGTTTATTCTGACTCTCTGTATCCTACCATCTGCCTCTCCTTTGCCATAACTGTCCATCCTGTATCTCAATTGTGATTTCTTTCTTCTTCTTTCTCTCATCCTCTCAGCATTGAGCTGCAGGTCCAGGAGCAGCCTCCCGAGGTGCGCCTCGGCATCTACTCGCACATGGAGGCATTTGTGCCGTGCAACAAAGAAGCCCTCCTCAAACGCCTGAAGAAGCTCAGTCTCAACATCCAGGTGAGTGAGGCTTATCTGTGGAGGAAGTGAGAAATCCCCAAAGTAACTGATCTCGGATCCCATTTGAAAATGTCTTTCCCACAGCTTCCTCTTTGATTACTCTGTGATCATCAAAAGCCAGATTCATGAACAAAACCGTAACAAATAACTAGCTTTGTTGTAGTCTCGTGATCTGTGACTATTCATTTATAAGCAACAACATATTCCAAGTGCTTCCTTCTAGCTCACTGCTCTTTTTAGGCATTATCTTTGAGCATTGGCGCTGCTTTCTTCAGCTCCTGTTGTCTTAAACTGATCCTCTATATTCTAGTCTTTTGTCACGCAACATTAAAGTAGCTTTGTTCATGAAATGGATCAACACTCCCACATGCCCTTCTCTTTTTTTCTCATTTGTTTATCTGTTTCTTCTTTATCTGTTTTCTCTTCCCTCCTCACTCCGACCTCTTTTATTCCTGTTCCTCTGTTTTGGCCTCGGTTCTTAACTCAACCTCCCTTTCTGTGTCCCTCAGGACGATCGCCTACGGACGCCGCTGTTGAAGCTGAAGCTGGCAGTGTGTAGCTCGATGCCAGAGCAGATAGCCAGATACAACATGGACTGCATGGCCAAGGTTGCAAAGTAAGTACATCTGTTTTTGTTTGTTTCAGAAGACAGGCAGGTAAATAACAGATCATTTGACCTCAAACCCTTATATCTGTTCAGCTTTATCATTTTTGATTGGGTGGTAAAAAGTTATTTGTTTACTGAATAGCTTTGCTAAGGCCCTTAAAATCGGTTTGGATTCTTCTTTAGTTTTTTCTCTGATGCACTTGTGTGTGTGTGTGTGTATGAGCTGAGCCACTAAGACACTTAAGCAGAGGAGAGAAGCAGCGTGCACTTAAATGACACCAAAACAAAGCAGTATAGTTATTTCCTGTTCATTCAGCTTACAGTACACTCACTTTTCAGGATCTAGTTCTGCAACTCTGTTTGTGTTTTCTGCGTCGTGGATATCACAGGGCCCTACTTTGCTTTAAAGAACAGATTACATAACATTTTAGCTGACAGCCAAGTGTCTTCATCATTTTCCTGTAACTCGATGCTCGGACCATAAACTTTTAAGATCACAGTAATCACTGCAGAGGTCATAGAATAAAGTGAATTCATGCTGCTTGTTTGTAAAAGTGTGCTCGTACATTTACATACCACTGACTGCGTGTGTGTTTGTCTGTCCTACAGGCAGCAGTCAGGAGAAGGGGAAAAGAACGGCTCAGAGGAGGAAGATGAAGAAAAGCCTGGGAAAAGGGTGATGGGCCCACGGAAGAAGTTTTTCTGGGATGACAAGCTCAGGTAATGATTCATAAGCGTGCTGCTGTAAGAGCTGGCTGGATGGCATGCTGCAGTTTGTGTGGCTGCAGGTTTGACTTAGTGTCTTTGATCGTTTTTCTTAAGGTATAAGGCTATTCCTTACATTTCTACCTTCCGTGCTTATCTCCAGTATATGTGTCTGATCTAGCTAACTGAGCGTAGGCTTTTAAGATTGTTAGTGTGGTTCGGATGGAGAAAACTAATACATTGTAGGTTTTGAAAATGAATGAATGACGTAAGGAAAATGGCAAAATAGTCATAAATATTTTCAGCTGTGAGGAACTTTTAGGTTTATTTAGGTAAATAGTCCCTCAACATGCAGTGGGAAAACTGTTTGAGCCACAACTTTTTCCACATATGCAAAATTACTCAAGACCTGCAAACTGAGTTTGTGAAATATCAAATTCTCCTTTAAATGTACATATGAAAGCCTTGAATTGTATGCTGGCACAAATGTAGAAACCTTGAGCAAAGAATTAGTGTCCTTGTGAAATTACAAAAACCCTGAGAAAGCTTTTCACTCCTCATTCATTTTTATAACAGCTTCCAAATGTTCAGCAATGGGTTTTAAGAGTTCATAATTACCTCTGACTCCTGAAGAATAACAGTCTCCTCTGCCATTATGTGCTCAACACCTGCAGCCTTATTTAGGTTTGAATAGTGAATAATTGGCGTTGAAATGAGCCTTTGTGTTTGTGCAGGAACCTGCTGTGCAGCCTGGTGCGAGTGAAGCTGAGCTGCTACGAGATGGAGAACCAGTGCTCTCTGTCTGTGGAGGACTACCTCAAGGCCTTCTTAGAGAACGAGGTCAAACCACTATGGCCCAAGGGCTGGATGCAAGCCAGGTCTGTGTGTGTGTGTGTGTTCTTGTTTTTGTGCTTAGCTTTAATTTGTTGAACAAATTCCTTCATATTGATAAGACAGCTGTAAATTCTCCAGGACCCGACCAATGAAGTTAACCTCAATACTATAATTAAGTTAAAAAACCCCATTAAAGATTAAAAAGGTTTGTGTTGGTGAGAAGGATGCCAACAGATGGAGCTATATTTTCAGATGAGAGAATAATTAGGTTAGTCTGCTGGTGAGTTCATGGACATTTTCCATTGAACACAGGTTGTTATAAATAGCAGCCATTTGTTTTGCCTGAATGTAATCATGTCTTTATTTGAAAGCACATTAATCTACATTACACCGAATTCCACTGCGTAAACTAGAAGATATTTTAAAAGCGATGAAGTTACATGTTAAAAAAAAGACAACAAAAGCAACAAAATGAGTATATGCAGGAGAGTTTATTAATAAAACAAACACCGTACAATCACCTCAGTTCAGAGAAATAATTAAAAATGTATAAAGATGAATGTAAACAGAATAATATGTTGGTTGAGATGTGCAAAATGGTTTATCGGGTGGTAAAATGAGTTCCATGGCAGTTTTTTTTAATCTCTACTAACAAACTTGTGTATCTAAATATATATATATATATATATACACTTTCAGAGAAAATGTTCTTATCACTGTTTGTTTCTTCTGCTCAGGATTCTGCTAAAGGAGAGTCTTGCTGTTCACAGTCACCTCACTGGAAACCTGTAAGTATGGATTTATTTCACACAGCTCAGTAACGGTAACTTCTCGATTATTTTCTCTGAGACTAAGCTTAAATGCTAAATGTAAATATTAAAGGCTAAGCATTTGCTTTCATGTTTCTATACAGAGTCAAGAGGAGAATGGTGCCTGGGCCCAGGGCCAAAGCCAAGGTGAGTGACAGCCATGATCATATACTGTATAATATCTAAACTGAGTTTTGTTTTAGTACAGATTTATTTTCAACCCACAACGTTAATTGGATCATAACCCTTTTGCCAAAGTGCATTCTAGCATGAAGCAACAATATAATATACTTTACTCATGAGATGTCATCTGCTCAGTTGTGAAAACAGATCTGCTGTTTAGTATTCATTTAATTTAACATGACTGATAAACATGGAAGAACAATTCTTCTTTTATATTATTATTAGGGCTGTCAAGTTAACGCGCTAACGCTCGTTTTTTTTTAACGCCACTAATTATTTTAACGTACGATTAACGCATGTGTATTTGTCCTCGGCCCGCCCCTTAGTTTCAGAGCCCAAAGGCTTGACGTTGTTGTTGTTGTTAGTTGGATGGTGGGAGATTCTAGCGAGACATATGGATACCAAAAAAGGTGTTTTTAACAGCAGCGATAGCTAAATGGGTGGCTACAGCTTAACATTGTGGAGGACGAGGGGCTGCGTTAGATCATTCGGATCGCATCCAACGTATCGACTGCACATCACAGCGCATTATTTTGACCCTAGGTGGGAACTTCAGTCTCATGCTTTGACTGAAGATGAAGACAGAGGAGCGGCATTTCGCCGACAACTGTAAACAGGCTTGTCTGTTTGAGCAACTGGCTCAGTGCAAAGAAGTAGACAGGGTTGGGAGAGAGTCTAAGAGAGAGAGAGAGAGGTTCCAGGTTGTTGTGTTGAGAATATTCAGGAGAATATTTGTCATTGTTCCAATGATAAAAAACAAACATTTGCATAAAGCATATTTGTCCACTCATATGTTGATAAGAGTATTAAAAACTTGAAAAATATTCCTCTAAGGTACATTTAGAACAGATAAAAAATGTGCGATTAATTTGCGATTAATCGCGATTAACTATGGACATCATGCGATTAAATATTTTAATCGACTGACAGCCCTAATTATTATTATTACTATGCTTAAAGGTGAGGTAGGTAAGTTTGAGAAACCGGCTCGAGATACACTTTTTGTTATATTCCATGGAATGCTCTTAACATCCCGATAGCAATGAATATCTTAAGTGCTTTGACAAAAAATCCATAAAAAAATGTTCATCTGTGGAAGCCGTAGTACTGTAAAAAGTACGACCAATCATTTTAGCCGGCCCAGCTAAAATAACTGGATGGCCTACCTGCCTGTCAGCCTTCCATCTGTGCACAAACTTATCTCGTGCCCTCATTGGTCATGTGCGCGTTCGTGTGTGTTGGAGGAGGGGCTCTATAAGGAAGTGGCAGATTTTCTCCGGTTGTGTATTTTCAAATTCTAGCGATCTCGAGCCGGTTTCTCAAACTTACCTACCCCACCTTTAACGGTGGTTATAAAATGTGTAATTCACACAATAACCAGGGGTCTTAGCTGGGTAAAAGAAACCCACTACAGCTCACATAGTAAATTGAGTATTATTTCCACAGCAGAGTCCTGTTGGAAAGAAATAATGTTACATAAAGCATGATGAATGTTAAGATACAGTCACCAGAAAATCACATTAAAAGCCTTCCTATTAAATGAAGGCTGCAAGAATTTAACACCCACTTAGATCTATATCTGCAACACAATTGCAACCTTTAACAGTGACAGGAACTGGATTTATTTGTTGCTCTGCTTAGATGTTGCAATTTAGGCAATGGAGGCATAGGCCAACACAATTTCATGTCACGATTATCCCTTATAATTGCAATTCACCATCCCCATGATAATCAACAAGTATGCTGCCCTACTCTTAAATGGTACTGAAACATACTGGAATAACCAACATCAAAAATTAGGTTTTTTTTAACCTCTTTCCCACGAAAGAGAGCAAGACAGCTTTTTCAAGTCACTCATGTAAGGATATTCATAATTATCTTGATATTTGAAATCCACCAGAATAATTTATAATGAGTGTTTTTAGTTGTGATCTATGATAACATCCCATCCCTAGTATAATGTCTGTTTTTGAGTTTGTTTTAACATTATGAAGTCCTGGTTCTGTCTGCCTCTGAGGTACTGACACTTTTCCATGTCTTCTGTTCTGTAGGAGGGTCTCTGGATCCACAAACCCCCTCTCAGCATGACCTCCACCTCGTCTCTGCACACCTCCGCTCTGACCTCACACCGGAAACCGGCCTCCTGCTCGCCCCCGGAGCCCATCTGTCTGTCGGACTCGCTGGATGAGGATCTGACCGCTCCCTCGCTGGACTCCATCTCCCACGCTCTGGCCCTCCTCAGCAACGCCTCGAAGGGCCTGGGCTTCTCAGACAGCCCTCTGTCCCCCCCCGCCCCTCCAGATGCCCACCTCCTCCCCTCCCCCCGTCACTCCTCACTATCCCTCGGCCTCTCAGCTCTCTGCCTCCATCGCCTCCACAACGCAGCTTCATTCCCTGTCGAGGGGGGAGCCCTCTCCGCTGGCAGCTGCTGGGAACCTGCCAACAACAACAACAACGCTACCAACCGCCTATTCTACCTCCTCTTCCTCCTCTTCCTCGTCTCCCGCTGTTTCCTGCTTGGCTCGAGTGCAGGCAGCCGGCCTGTCGCTGGCCTCACGGACTGCAGAGGGACCCTACGGCCTGATCAAAGGATCTGCCTCTATGGGCCAATCGCAGCCTCAGAGACTCCTCACTATGGCAACGCCCAATCACAGGACAGGCTTGGTGATGGGCGGGAACGGCAAGATGCATCCTCACCCGTCCCCTTCGCCTCCAAAGCAGCGGCCCCCTCCCACGGCTTCCCCTCTGCTGCCCCCCCATCAGAAGGCCTTTGTGGGCCCGGGGGGGCTGCTGGGAGCTCTGGGAGGACTGGCCAAGAGCAAAACCATCAGCAGCAACGGCAGCGCCACGCCTTCCTCCTCCCCCTCCTCAATGTCTCGCTCAAACTCCACCTCCCACCCCGGCCTGCAGTCCTTCTGCCCTCCCTCTCTGGTGGTTTCCTCCCCATCCCCATCCCCCTCCCCCTCCCATTCCTCACACTCCTCCTCTCAAGGTAAACTCCACACACACCACCACCACCAGGCTAACTTCATCACGCCCATGCAGGCCACGCTCACCAAGTCATCCCACAGCAGCAACTCCTCCCACATCATCAAGCTCACCCCTCGGCCTCCGGCGCCGACCCCCCCTCCCTCCTCCTCCCCCTCCCCGTCGTCCTCGCCCTCACACCTGCTCTCTCATCAGATGATCTCCAGCCAACAGCAACAACACCAGTTCTCCCTCAAAACCCCCAAAGCGTTCCGGCCCCCCTTCAGTGTATCGGGGGGCGGGGGGGTGCAGGTGAAGCCGCCGCAGAGTACCTACAGCTTCGCCAGAGGACAGAAAGCTCTGCCCACCACCAGTAACAGTAGCATCAACAACAACTCCGTCATCAACAAGGGAGTGATATCAGCCGTCTGCAGCCGGGCTGACAAAACTCAACTGTCTTCTGCACCCTCAGTCTCAGCCAATCACGCGCAGAGGCAGAGGGTAGTGGGCGGGGCTAACCAGAGCCCAAAGGCATTAAACAGCTGGGCCACTTTGGCCTCATCCTCCACAACGTCACACCTCCCACAGGTCGGTTTAAGGTTCATTAGTTTTAAATTCTAATAGTTTTTTGTTTTTACTCTTCAATTTATATTAGGTTAGTTTTTAGAGTGTGTTTATTAGATTTAGTTTATTAAGAGTCTTTTATGTTTGAGTTTGCTTTTGTTAAAGGTAGGGTAGGTAAGAATGGAGAAACCAGCTCGAGTGCGCTAGAATTTGAAAGTACGCAGCCGAAAAAAATCTGCCCCTTCCTTCAGACTTCCTTACAGAGCCCCTCCTCCAACACACACGAACGCGCACATGACCAATGAGGGCACAAGATAAGTTTGTGCACAGATGAAAGGCCATCCAGTTATTTTAGCCGGGCCGGCTCAGATGATTGGTCGTGCTTTTTAAAGCACCACGGCTTCCACAGATGACATTTTTTTTAATGTATTTATTGTCAAAGCATTTCATATATTCATTGCTATCGGGATGTTAAGAGCATTCCATGGAATATAACAAAAAGTGTTTCTGAAGTGAATTACCTACCCCACCTTTAAGGTCATATAATGTCTCAGAAGTATGTAGCTACATAGTACATGGTTTGCATGTTTACATCTTCCTCCTTTCATCATTAGACACTAGCGGAATAGCTCGGTTTATAGCGTTTAATCAATGAAAATATTTTAATTATGTCTTTTTTAAATTGAATTCTAGAGACTAAACTGCATTTAAAAAGACATAAGGATTCATTTTGGAGCAATTGCAGTAAAGCGCCATTTCTTTGAGTGTTTAGTCCATGCTTTAATATCACGAGATCAAACTCAAATTCATGTTACCTCTTTTTTCTGGATTTATTAACTGTAGGTAAACACTTTTTATAGTTGAATATGCAATATTGTAGGACATTATTTTTTATGATAATAGTCCTGGTTAGTGTCTTTTGGGCAAACAAATGTTTTATATGCAGCTTCACGCTTTACACATCATGGACGGTTCTAAATAAATGGAAATATATACATGACTGTTGATCTCTCTCCCTGCGCTGTGTCTCTGCAGGTTTCCACAGTAGGCTCCCCCCTCCTGGGCGGCCCCTCCCCTCTGTCTCTGGGCTTCGGGATGTTGGGCGGCCTGGTGCACCTCTCGCAGCCCTTCCAGTTCCCCCCGCTGCTCAACTTCAGCCCTGGGGTCCCGGGGGCCGCCGGCATGGGATCAGTCCCCAGCTCCAACTCAGGATACACACTAGCACAGAGCGACCTAATGGGTGAGGGGACACACAACCTGCAGAAGCATTGTGTCGCTTAACATCGATCAAGAGAAACAAGAAAGGAGTAACAATATATAAAACTTATACTGATATTTTCCTCAAATCGTTATTAATCATTATTTATATAGGCTGCAGAACGGACTGAGAAAGTGATGCATCTAGATTTGTAAACGTCTATTTATGTGTGTGCGCTCCCACTGAAGCAGCAGCTCCACCTCTCCATGGTCTCCATTTTGTTTACAAACGTCTCCCTCCTTTGTTCTCCTCATCTTTTGTGTCTGTCATCTCAACCTTTTGTTCCACACTGCCCCCTCACTTTGATCATCTCCCTTTTTTGTTGGCCCCCCCCCCCCTTCACTACACATTTTACTCATGTTGCCCCTTTTTTGTTGCCTTCTCCCCTCTCATCTTCCCTCCATCTCTCCTCAGATCTGTATAAGAGTCTCCAGTCAGGGTCGCAGGCTGCCCTACCTCCTCACTTGCAACTTGCTTTCTCAGGTAATTTGCACTCCTCCTCCCCCTCTTCCTCCTCTCTCTCTCTCTCCCCCCCCCCCCCCGTCTGTGTCAGGCCGACCTGTCGTCCTCTGCTTGGCTGCTCTGTATCTTTCTGCTTGCTTCAGTATATTTTATGTTTAGCATGTTTCTGGTTTGCTCCTGTGGTTGTAACACAGTAGTTGCATGCTATAAAGATATTTAGATTTATATTGTTGTTTCATTTGCCTGCAGAATGCACAGTGACAATTCCGTTTTTGCCAGATTATCTCTACTGTCCACCATCAATCAACTACAGTATGGATTTATCTGTGTCTGAATGCAGTCTGTGTTTACAGCTGTAAACGGAGACTGCAGGTCACCTGGATACTTATGGCACACGTGGCAAAGAACCATCCCAACGTCTAAATCTGTAGACAAACATTTTAACACAGTTCTTCACCCTGTGACTAACTTAAATTAAATACTAGAATTAATTTAGTTTGACACTAAAGTTTATGAACAAAATAAGGTTTCTAGGTCTTGTAAAACTTTGAGGAAGAGGCTTTCAGGGTAAAGGACGATGAGTGTGGTTTTGCAGGACGTATCAGTAAACTCTTCAGCATGCCCGGTGTCTCTCGATATAATAACCTGCATGCACCTTTGTAAGAAAACAAACAAAAGTTGGACTCAGTGTCAAAGTATGGGTTATAGTCGGTCAGATTATTTGTTGCCTCTCAATGTAAATGTCAAAAATAATTTAGAACAATTTAGTTTTTCAGTGAAACCATATGATGGTCAAATATCGCCCGTCAGGTAAATGTCTTTTTAAATTCTGCAGGGAAGTCTGGTCACAGTTTAAGCCGTTCCAGTAGTAGAAGTAACAACATTATATAACAATACATAATACACATGTATCTTTGTAAATCATCGATCCAAAAAATAGTCAAAGATTAGCTTTAAAGAAAACAACCAGTTGGGAGAGGATTTCTACTAGCCTTCCCAAAGGAAACGACAACTGAATCAAACAGACTACAACTTGTGTGACGCAGGAAGTAAGGCACCCCCTGACATACCAAGTTAAATGGGCAGACCTTTTATTGTATGTGTATCTAATGTAACACTATAAGGAGCATCTTAAATCCACACAGAGCGGGTCAATATTAAACTTGGTACAGAAGGCTGTCCAATGATGAGTCAAAGTTGTTAAATAGTCTCCATCCTCTCCACTCAGATGCGAACCAAAGCCAGGGCGGAGACATGAAGAGGAAATCCCACTGACCAATAACAGCTCAGGAGGCGGACACCAGCGGGGTGACATCACAGCCTCCTGGACACATCCACCAATAGGAACCTTTGATTGACTGACGTGGTGATGTTGAGTGAGGGGGCGGGGCTACACCGCCTCTTAAAACGGACCTAAAGGAGAATCCTCGCTACAATGACGAATTAATTTAACTGTTTTCTAATGAACCGGGTATGAGAACAAGACAGAGTGAATGACGAGAACACTTTTATTTTTATTCTGCTTATTTTTATTTTTTTGTCAACATGTTTACATATGACCGACCTTGATCACTGTGGAATGTGTGAGCGAGGTGGTGATACAGATGAGAGTACTACTACGCTATGTAATATAATTTGTATTTAAGCTTATGTGGAAACACAGGACTCTTGTTCTTGCAGTTAAAACAAAAAAACAAAAAAAAACAGAATAATGATTTTTTAATTCTTCTGTCTTTTCGTCTCCGATGTGGGAATCATTGTGTGTAGAAATGTTATCGTTGGTCACCTCTGCTCCCACAAATGACTGTTAAGTAGTAGCTTAAATTAATATTAATAAATTATTTGTAATTTACACAGGGACAAAAACATGTAATAGCGTGAGTGAGAGAGAGAAAGCAGTTGATTTGAATGTGTGTATGTACAGAAAAAAACACAATATACTGTTTCCAGATGATCCTGTATGAATGGTAAAGACATGTTTCCCCTTCTGACAAGAATGAGCGAGTCGGACGCCCCTCTCTCGCTCAGTGTGTTTTTGGTGCTGTTTCATCACACTGGACCTTTTCTGGAAAAAAGACTTGAATTGAAAGAGTTTTGAAGCCGCCTGTGAGAGAGGGGGGAGGGATTAGGGGGGCGGGATACGTCACGATTGTAGCCTACTTGAATTGTTTTAGTTTTTGTGAGTTAAGATTATTTTATTTACTTTTTCTGCTTATTGACTCAAATCAACTTAATATAACACAACGCCTTAGTTTGTATCGATAAAATAAGAATATCTATGCAGGACTGTAACACGCTCAATGCAATAGTGCAAGTCGTCGCTTGGCTTTCAACCTCAACTCAACTTGTCAGTGCATTTCTGGAGTTGTGAATGTTTGTAGATGTTATTATTTCACTAAAGACTCCTTTGTGTGTTCAGACAGCATGGGAAGCACATTTTAGAAAGTCAATTTAAGTGTGATTCCATTCCAGTTTAGAGGCATTACGATAACCTTGGTTGCTAAAGAGAAATGTAAATGTTGTACGTTTACATAAATAGTTTTGGGGCAGATACATTCGTCTACACAAAGTCTAGTTTTGCCAGGTTTACCACATGACTGTAATCCACAAGTAAACCAGAATAGGTTGAGAACTGACAAGAAAAATAGTCACTTTGGCGCTTGGCCGTCAAACCAATTTTTTAGGAAAACATTGTGAGAGGTCTTCAGGAATATGTTTCAAATGGCCAAGTTGAAATTGTTTTTCATATCAGCTGATATATAAACTCCGCCTTCAGATATCAAGTATTGCTGCAAATGTGTCTTTCCTGGCTGTTGCATCAAAAGAAATCTCAAATATAATCCATTCATTTTATTTTAAAGGGTACGCTACATATTCACAACGCGAAAAGCTAATTAAGCCTTTTAAGCCCTTGCAGCCACAACTTGGAATAATGTGTGAACACTCCCAACTCGAATTACGGGTTATTTATGTATTGTTTTTATCTAATGTAGCCCCTTAGCTTTTATAAACCTACTAGAAAAAAAGAGACACGGGATAATTAAGAGTTTTTAATGAGTTCGGAGGTTGAGCCTAGCGCCACACCCCACAGAAACTGTTGCTGTGTCCGTTACTAAATGGCTAACGTTGTCCGTTTAGAAAAAACAGAAATGCTAAAGCTAAAATTCCCTTTCCTTTCTGTCTGAACACAGCTGTAGAGATTCCTTCCCTCTGCTGAATACCTCCGTTAACAAAACTGTTCTTCCTGAGTCTTTCACTGTCCTCCACTAGTTCCTCCTCCATGTGGGTCTGACTGACCGGCGGCACCGGGATGGCGCCAAAGATTGTTCTGTAGCTCACTGTTTAGATGGGGTGCTGCCGGTCAGTGTGTGTGTGTGTGTTTGATTTTTCTGACATTTTCCCCCAAAATGTAAACCCACCAGTGTCAACGTGTGGTCCTTCATGTCATTGTGAAGTCATGTGACTGGAGCAGTGGGTGACATCTTATAAATTGTGCTTTCTTTGGGGGTCCGGAGGATAAAATGACATTTTGTGGTTAACTGGTTAATTAATTTGGTCTTTTGTAGATTATTTTGTGTGTCAATTATTAAATTAAACAAAACAGGTGGTTTTCATGACGACTTTTTCTCCTTTCTTTGGACGAACTCTCCCTGTGTATGCACAAGAAACATGTGAGTATTAGTCATTCATTTTACTTTAATGTTTTTGCTTTTGACATACTTTACAATGGCTTTCATAGCCTATATTCTAACTTTTTTCATATTTTCGACATAGGCTACTTTGCTAAATATTATTACATTTTTCAATAAACTTTACTGAGACTTTTGCCTCATATTTTCGACAGACTATTCTATGACATTTTTCATATTTTTGATTTATTATATTACCATCTTTGATATGTGTCCACTTTTTCATGATATCTTCAACATACTATTATATACATTTGTCCTATTTTTCGACACGCTATATTTAGACTATGACTTTCTTTCATGATATTTTTAGGACATACTATGCTATGATTTATTTCATTATTTTTTTTACATAGCATATGACCACCTTTCATATTTCTGATGTTTTCATATTTTTTCAACATACCATACTATAACTTTTTCTTCCTATTTTCGACATATACTATGAATTATTTTCATAAATGTTTTTGACATACAATACTATGACTCTTTCTTCATATTGCCGACATACTATACTATACTATTACTTTTTATATTTTTTGACATTTTATAAAATAACTTTTTCAACATACTATTAACTATAAACCCCCCCTTCCCCTCCCCCAAACAAAACAGCTCAGTCACGGCTACAATGAATATGCTTTATTTTCCTTTTACAAAACAAACAGAACGAAAAAATTACCGTCTAGAAATACAGGTATACAAGAAATAAAATGATGGGAGTATTTGCAATTGGATGCCTGGTTGTCAACAGCCAGCTGGATAATAATAATAATAATAATGATAAAATAAAAACGAGTTAACTACTTGTGAATGTTAAAGCTTTAAACCAAATAACCAATATCCTGTGCAGAGCGTCACTTCCCTTCAATGACTTCAGCACTGAGAGGTTACTTTAAATCTCAGTGCAGAAGTCATTGGGGAATCCAGCTGCTGCTCACTGTAAAGATACTGTAATACTGATCTGACCTAAACACTGAAGCTAGGAGTTTATTATGAACACGGAGGTACACAGCGGGTATGATATGAAGCACAGCAAAAATACAAAAGAAAGAAAAAAGTTTAATCGTTGAAGTTTTCATTGGTTTACCTGTTTAATCTTTCTGTACTGAAATCACTGCTATGTTCCTATTTAGTGTCTAAGGCACTCTTAAAGAAACATACTGTTTAGGAGAAGGGCAGAGAAGTCCGCTGTCGACAACCATCCTAATCTGCTGACTCATGATAAAGAAACTAAGGTTGATGGATGAATATGGGTGTTTTTTACACTGTAGTGGTTTAACTGTTAATTAAGAGTAACACAATTTTTCAGCCGTTCATCACCTGTGGGTACTAAGTGCTTAATGTATCAGGGCTGTCAGGAGTATGGAGGCTTCAACTCAGAACCATGGCATACAGCAGTCCATGTTTGTTGGTATCAGGTCACGTTACATTTGAGGCACAGAGTGGAGCGTTTTTCTGAAAAGTTATTACAGATCAATCCCTAAGAGCACTCCTAAAATCCCAAAGAGACTTCTAACTGGAGGAAAAATATTCTGTCTGTCACACAAACAAATGTTTTCTTTAAACTTTTTAGCAGCATGGATGAGTCCTCGAAGTCCCTAGAAAGATAAACTTGAATAAAAGATGAATACGGTTTATTGATGGATCGAATCCAAAGGAATGCATCTCATGGAGCGTTTCAATTTGTTTCCAAATGTTCTATCCACACTGCAAGTCTGCATGTCTTTTTGAACTTCACAAGGATGTATGAAAATATAAAACAATTTAATTTAATATGAAAAAATATAACATAATTTGTTGCAGACCCAACTTGGGGAAAACAGTTAAAACTGTTCAATTGAATTTCTTTGTTATTTCTTTCATCCATATTGACATTAGTCTTTGGAAAGACTGAAGGTAATTCAAATCCTTAAAAGATTGGCAGGTAATTCTTTTACAGAAAAACTCATGCTTCAGCTCTGTAGTTTGATTGAGTGAGTCCAAACTGGGGCCCGGCACGAACTCTGAATATATTCTCACTACGTTTCAAACGGTCTAATCAAACCACCTGTTTAGCCTCTTTAGTGCTTCCAGTAAGAGCGTTTTTTGTTCTGTTTCCAGTTAAAATTTTAAATATATTTCCGTGCATTTTCCAGCATCTTTCTCACCATCCACATTAGAGTATAATACAGAATGTGTTAACCCCTATGAGTTATGAGATTTCTAGTTAAAACCCAGCGACACATTCTTTCGTTAAAAGTTGAGATGAAGCAACAAACACTTTCTCACAGTAATACACTTACAATTTAGAGTCGGCTCTCTTCTATTGCATGTCCCGAGGTGTGTGCTGTTCCTGTAGACGCTGTCCGGTCATCAGAAGGAAATTCATGCAACAAAAGCAGCCGGTGAGGCGACCCAAGGACACGCTGACCTTGGACTGAGAGGAGGGAGTGAGTGGGGAAAGATGGCTTTTACACAACTAGTGAGCAGAACACTTAAAACACCAGAGTGAAACACGCTTCGTTGAAGTCCTACATTTCCAGTATGGGGTGCGTTCACATACGTTACATACTTAATGTGTGTACACAGCCTCCACCTACTGTTTCATATAAAAAGCACTTTGCACCTAAGCTTCATTTCTCAATAAGCAGATAACTTCGGGCCTGATGATGGGATGAGTGTTTCGTCGTGACGCTGAGATGATACATGGCCGAGAGACGAGCCAGGACTGGCAGCTTGCCGGAGGAGAACGGAGTAAGGCAGAGTTGTCCGTGGCCCCTGAGACCCTCCAGGACTGGAGGCGTGGGGTCAGGGGAGGGCGATGGATTTTCCCTGCAGTGTTAACCGATACAAAAAGGGCTGACAGGCGGACTCCACCCAGCGTGACCAAAAATCATCGCTCCAACCGTCTGTCCAGTCAGGGGTTTGAAGTGAGGAAGAGGATGGTGACGCCATGGATCTATCTGGGGGGAGAACTAAGCGCAGGTGGTGAGGTGGAGGTGAGTGAAGAGGCCAGGGGGGGGCGAGGAATGAGAGGGTCTCTGTGTTTCTGTGTTTACTCGGCGTTGGTGGGTTGCGTGTCGTTGAAGTCTCCAGCGCGGCTGTCGGCGTCGTCGTCCGACATGTCGACGGAGGCTCCGTCCAGGTTGAGGTTGCGGCGGCCCGAGCGGTTGGAGGAGAAGCTGCTGACCGGACCGCCACGCCTGGGAGGAGCGAAGAAGACAAACTTAAACCTCTGATGCTTCAACAAGTAGTTCAACATTTTTTTGTGTCTGTGTGGCAAGGAGGTAGTTAGCTTAGCTTAGCATAAAGAATGGAAGTCGGGGGAAACTGCTAGCCTGACTCAAAGTTATAAAATCTAGGTAGCAGAACCTCTAGAGCAGTGGTTCTCAACTGGTGGGTCGCGGATGTGTGAGTGAAGAAAAAAAAGTTGGAAAAAAAGAATTGGATTTTTTTTTTTTTTGGGGAAAAAGTCAAACCTTTATTTTGAAGGCCCTATTTTCTTCTCAGAGTGTACCAGAATGCGTAGTTTGTTAGTATTTCTAAAAATCGCCTGGGGGAGAATCCCCCCAGACCCCCCTGCTGGGGTTGGGTTTCAGCATGTGTGCCTTTTTATATAGTTCAGCTTTGATTCCATCATCTCATTAAACCTTTTTTAAAAGCATACTTTAGTTCTGTGAAGGGATATAAGGGATATATGCACTGTACTTCACTTTTATTAATATTGTATGCTCAAAAGCGTATATATATATATTACAGCACGATATTTTGTTGAATAGATTTGAGTGCTTCAAAATGTTGGGTTGCGATGTATTGACCAAGTAAAAAGTGGGTCCCGAGGCCTGACCAGTTGAGAACCACTGCTCTAGAGCTCACTGGGGCTTGTTGCATCTTGCGTGTTTAATCCATCAAAAGAGTAACATGTTGGAACTATTCTGTACATACAGTATGACACATGGCCAGAATAGGCTTTGTACTTGCTGGGTACGGATTAAACAAACAAGATGACATTAGAGAATATAGGTATTGATATTGTTAAACTTGCGAGAGAGTCAGGCTAGCTGTTGTGAGACTTATCGCCATGCTAAGGTTAGCGCCTCCTGGCTCCATATAAGTGTGTGTCTGTGTTTCACTAAATGCCTAACTATTTATTCCCTATTCAACCTGACACACGTAAGGTAAGCCTTGCAAATACATACACAAGCTACAAATAGATCAAAATTGTATAACTGGACACCAGTGCCACTACATAGCAAACCAAACTACTGTATGTCAAGAGTTCATATTTTCACACAGTTTATTTATTTTATTCCATCTAACTTTAATGTTGTGACTTTATCAGTTCATTTATTTTTTGTGGCAGTGCACGTTGCCTCTCCCTACCGGAGGCGGTTCTTGAGGGAGGTGACCTCCCGGGTGAGCCCCTCGCTGCCCTCCGTGGCGTCGTCCAGCTCCCGCTGCAGCTTCCTGCGGGCGGCGTTGGCGCGGGTCGCCTCCTCCTCCGCCTCCTCCAGCTGACGCTTCAGCTGCTTCATGCGTGAGTTGGCTTTCTCCATCTGACGGACACACGGGGAAACAGGCGGACACAGAGAGCGGTTGATGGTTGGCCGGTTTACCCTCCCTGAGTGAAAATACACTTTGACTCTCATTACGCAATACCTGCTCCTTGTATTGGTCGGCATGACGACGCTCATCCTCCGCCTGCATCATCACCTCCTTCAGTTTTTTCTCCGTGCGACGGACAATCTTGTTGGCTGCTGCTCTCTCCCTGCAAGTTGAAACAGACAGGACAGACCAGACACATTACATCCTGTACATAATGAATGTAGCAAGAGCAGACACATATCTAACTGGCAGCCTTAATGTCTTTAAATACATGTTGGGATGTTTAATTGTTGTTGAAAATATAATAAACCACAAGACATTTTTCAAATCAAGTTTATTAC